TTCAAAAAAAGATGCATTTACAAAAATTTCAGTCCATTAGTCAATAGTTTAGGGAAAAAAAAAAACCCTCTAATTTAAAAATGATTGAACCATTCTGTGTGGAAATTTCTTTTCCCCACACTCGTTTTAATACAAGGATGACTCAAATTTTTTTCAGCTCCTGCAGAGAAGTCATATACCATCAGTCAGGCCAATAAACTGGCAGATTTCACTAGCACCCCCTCCATTGTGGGGTTAAATTTCCCTCTCAATGACTGGCTGAAAAGATATGTAATCAATGCAGGAGCATGTATCTCAGGTAACACAGTGGGAGGCACTGCCCTGGGCATAATTTGCACCAGTAACGAACAACACAGCAACCATAACAGAGCCAAGTGCCTCCTCAAATATATGAAATGTTTCTTGACAATCCTCCTAAGGAGACCATAAAATGCTCCTGGGTGAAAACACAACCTACACATGGGATGAGATTTGCTTCCAGCAACTGTTATGTGTCCAAAGGGACCACAGGGAAACACATCTCCTAAGAGATGCATGGCCACCCAAGTGAGCATGGGGAAGGCAGGAGAGTGGGAATCTGTCACACAAGTCTCTGCATAGTGGCCTGGGGGCTTTGGTGAAGAGTGTTGTCTTGTTAAACCACTGGCTATGTCTGCCTGCACACTCAGGGGTAGCTTCACTCATGCTGGTGACTCCTCTGCTCCTTGCTTGTGCCGTGCCTGGCACGAGGGAGTCCCAGGCAGCTCCTGCTGCTCCCATGCTCTGGCAAAGCAATAATGAGGAGGGAAATGAGACACTCATCTTGAGAAGATGAGTAATGACTGCAGAGGGGCAAGGAACTGCTTAGAGATAAATTACATCCTACATAAACAGGACTTCACTTCTTCAACAGTAACTCAAAACTGTCCTGCATTTTTTGGGCTATCATAGAAACACATACACATACACATCATAGAAACACATACACAATGCATGGCAAAGAGCTATCTTACTGAAGGAGGGATTTACCGAAAAATAGAGTTTATTATGGATATATGAGATGTCTCCAGTGTGCTGCCCACATTAGAAGGGCAACTCTCATTAGCTTAACCCTCAAAAAAAGTCTCTCACAGGTACAAATATTATTCTTGGAGAACTGGGGGTTCCAGAAACAAAGACAATTTGAAGAAGGAAGTAGCTAAAGTGGGGGCCAAGGAAGACAGAAGACCTCCTGATGTTGTATCAGTGGGACAAAGAGCACATTGTTCAAAGTCAATCCTTTGGGTCTAAGAATGAGGATTTCTGACTGCATTTGGTGAACTCAGGATGACACCAAGCTGCTGAATGAATGCTGCCATGGAAAAAGCAGACGCAATTCTAAGATGTACAAGAGAAGTCATTCCAGTAGAGAGCAAACAGTTTTAGTATTCTCATATAAAACAGCTGGAATAGCCTGCAGTACTCTGCTTGTTTAAGAGAGTTACTCAAGAAGAAAAGGAATAAAGGAAGAAATGAGAAGACTATGTCTTTTTCTTGGCTAACTGATTATAAATGAAGAGGCATCATGGCAGATGTCTCTCTGAGAAACTCAGTGCCAGAGAAGAAGGGCAGTCAGGCTGAATCCCAAGGAATAAGCTGCTCCTGGTGAACGCCAAGGGCTGCACCTTTTCTGACAGGGCTCCTTGTACCTTCCAGCACTGGGGCAGGGCCTGTCCCCACCCTCCCAGTAGCTGATGAAGCACAGGCAGTACAGCCAACAGCCAGGCCACAGAGCTCTCCAGGCTCCTGCAGCACTAGTTTAACTTCAGGCCACAGCTGCACAGTCATTAGTGTTTACAAAACAAGTTTCCAGAGAAGCAGAATTACACACTGAGGAAATAATAAGCAGCAATGTAATCAGATGTGAGGAGGAGATCATTTCATTACCTGAACTAGGCTTCATTATTCACCATTTCCCTGGCAAGAGCTGATAAATGCAGGCTAATGAATCTTCGCACTCGGACGAGCAGTTGGAGCTGCTGGCTCAGTGCTGCCACATGCAGAACAGGACCAGGAGATCCAACTGTCAGCTGAAAGCCCAGGAGGTAAAATAAGAACTCATCCATTGCAGCACTGCAGTGAGAGGAGGGAGAGGATTTAACCATGCCTGGCTTGGTCTTACAGGGTCACCTTGGCTGTGGGAATGCTGTAGCTACTATCTGGCTCAGAGGAACAAACTCTAAACATCCCAAGAACAAGAGGGGATGCTGTGTACACTAGTGAGATATACAAAAACCAGAGCCAGATCTTTGGGAAAAGCCTTTCAGGACCAATAGTATCAGTCCTGACAGTTCCTTCCCCATCTCAACTGTTAAATATCATCCTCAGCCTAGTCATGATACAAGACAACTACAAAGACAGAGGCAACAGCACCAACACTCAAAAAGCAGGAGCATTGTACACTTCTGTGGCACTGCCATTTCTTTAACACAGTTCCCTGTTGCCTGCTGTAGCTATTCCTCCTTCTGAAAAGCAGGGAAACAGGAAATACACCAGTCACTTTAGACAATTATTAAAAAACCCCACCCCAATCCCCCCCAAAAAATCCCAAAACACAAACAAACAGAAAACAATGCTAAGGAAAATATCAGGTAAGGAGAGCAAACCTCCTTAACATAAATTCTCAGAGCTGTGAAGACAATCTCTGCTTTTCCTATATTTTCTGCATGTGTCACCAGCAACGTACATCCCCAATTTTATATGAAGAAGCAGAATATTTGGCAAGGCTCCTCTGGAAAGAGCTTAGACACTTAACAGCCCACATAAGATGAAAACCTATTCAGAGAGGAACACATATGTCCTGACATTAAAGGGAAATACTGCCCTCATCTGTCTTCCAGTGACAGGTTTTATTTTCCTGCCTAGTATGCCTAAGCCATTCATCACTTCCAGGATGAAAAGGTGACTCTGTTGGTGCAACCAGCTCCAAAGTCCGTGCTCAGACTCAAGCTATTAAGCAATGCTGCTGTGGGTAACTGGAATCAATATGACCATGTTGCTGCAGCAGAGTTTAAATGCAGAAATTTCCTGATTCTCTACACTGAAGACAGTGTCTAGGCTCAAAAGAAGAAAATAGTTTGTAGATTCTTTATAAAACTAAAACCAAACAATGAAAAAAATATTCCTAATGCCAGGGGACCAAGAATACTGAGATGCAGCAGTGGGATTCAGCAAGAGTAGAGCAACCCCTGCTCCTGAAGCCATTTGCACACTCAGACCCTCCAGATGAACCAGGGCTCCCTCCAGTGACTCACCCTCACAAGCAGTTTTTCCCAGGTCACCATCTCCAGTCTGGTTAATGTCTCAGCAGTCAATCTCTCACTGCCCTCACAGTAGTTTTTCCCAGGTCACCATCTCCAGAGTCTGGTTAATGTCTCAGCAGTCAATCTCTCACTACAGGCTTTTTGCCTGACACCTTAATTTGATCTGTCATTTCACAGCCCTGTAGCTCTATCTGAACAGGTGGAATATGGCAGATTCCTCTCATTATTTTAGCCTTTGTCAAACACTGTTATTAATTCACAGTAATCTACACATTTCTGGATTTCCCATAAGCATTCTCTTTTCTCTCATCAAAAGCTGCATTTTAACCACTGTTATTCCTTCCCACATTGCCATCTGCCTTCCCAGCCTGTCCTGGATGTACAATGTGGGTTTGCTTCTTTGGGGTCTTACCTGGAGTTTCCTCTTCTGCTTTTGAAGTATTCCAAAAACACTCAGCAAAGTAAAACTAAGGACCAAAATTCCAGGTGGTCATTTGCTTGGGTTTAATCATTCTGGCCACAGAACACCTGGGGAAATGCTGTCTTCATGCTGCTAGTATTTTACTAACATGTTTGTGTAGCTACAAGCTGCCTTGCAGGCATCCAGTTTAGGTGGTAGAGGTGAACACGAGCCTTCTGCTTTCTTGAAAATGCCACAATTCATCTGTTAAAGGGAATTACTTTACCTTACTTTTATTAACACTGGTGGAGAAGGATCTGCTATCATTGGTGCTTGCTACTGGATTCACACTGTGGAACTCAGGCTGCCCACAGCAAAGCCAGTCATGGTTTCCATACTTTTTTAAAATTATAGTAAGAAACTCTGACAAGAAGTTCTACTTTCCTGATTGCTTGAGGGAAAATAATGAAAGTCTGGAAGTCAGGAGATTGTGCAATACAGGGAGATGTCCTGATGAAACTGTATCCAAACTCTGTTGAATGTGAATCTGTTTGTGTCAGGCAGAGGACGCACAAGAGAGAAAATTCAATGCATTTCTCTCAGCAACAATATTCTGTTTCTTGTAAATGAGTTAAAGATTGCAAATATGAATGTTATAGATTGAAGTTTATTCAAGTGAGCCCTGTGTGCAGCAGCAAGGGCTTCTTGCAGGGCAGTAGATGGCTGGTGTGAGCCTGCAGCATCTCCTTTGCAAAAAATATCCTGAATTCTTTCTGAAGCTGTTTTGTCCAATGTCCTTCCCCACCATCTCATTGCTCTCACTCATTACTTCAGGAACTTCCCTCTCCTTCCCCGGGTCTGTCCCTTCCCAGGTGAGAACTGCTGTCAGCTCCAGCAGATGGAGCACCCTCCGGCTCCCAGCCTCTCCAGGCTACTGACAACCCTCTTTTCTGGCTGAACCATGATCCCGGAGCAGCTGGGGTGCAGGAAAAGGGTCCTCTTCACCAGCTTCTAGCACAGGCTCCAGTCCCACAGTCCTTTTTATAAATTCCCATTTAATTATTTTCTGTACTTTCTCAGCCCACTCCAAAACAAGACTCTTGCACTTTCTAAGACTTCCTGGAGGTTGAATCTTTCCAGTTCAAGCTCTCAAAGGCTTAGGATCACAGAAGCTTTCGTGGTCCAAACCCATTAAAAACAGAAAATCACATTTTATTTGCCAGTTCCAAAATCATTAAAAACAGGGGGGGAAATCACATTTTTTTCGCCATAAAGTGATGTTCTGTCACCAAAAAAAAAAAAAAAATTTTGCCACTCAATATTTGTATTTGTTTAGACAACACACACACACAGAGCACACTTAACATCAAATCCTGAGCAGCCTCCCAGCACACTGAGCAAGGCTTAGACAGAGAAGAATTACTCATGTTCCCTGAGCTCCAGTGCCAGGCAGCAGCACACCCCTTCCCCTCTGCTGACTGCACACCCCTGGGGTGGCAGAGCACAGCAGAATGCAGCAACTGCACCTCAGGGCACACACACACACAGACACACACAGAGCACCTTTGGGCTCCAGCTGGGAGCACCAGAATGTCTTTCCTGTCCCCCACACCCGTATCTGCACTCCAGCTGGATACCAGCTGCATGGGGTGAAGCATGCCCAGTCCAGCAGCCTGGGGAGCCTGCAATGTATTATCCTGCCCTCTCAACCCACATATCTGATGAGATCTCAGTGCCTTATTGATGTGTCCCTCCCCAAAGCACTACAAATAAATAATATGACTTGCTGTCATTTGGGGACTGGATTTTAAAGGAGCAGGGCTGTCGATTTGCCTTTTTTTTTTTCGCCTTGTACCTTTCCAATATTAAAAAACAAAACCCGTGTATATATACTAAAAAACAGTCATCCAAAGAGCCATCTCAATGTTGCTTGTATACGATGGCAGACACAGTGGGGATCTCATGCCCCTTGGCTGTCCTGGGATCCTCGATGTGGCTGTACCGCTCTCCCCGGTGACGCTCCAGGTAGGGGCCCCAGTTTGCTGCAGGCCGGCAGCAGCTGACAATGCGCTGCAAAGCGAAACCAAGAGGCATTGAATGTCTTACTTCAGTCCAGGCTACTTTCAAAATTCAGTAAAGTTATAGCTCTAGGCGTGCACTGCAACTCAACAAACGGCAAATGACCAAAGTTGTTTAGAACCCTCCCAAGTATTTTTGGGGACGGTGCGTTCTGGATGCTGAAGTCAAAGAACAAGAAAAGCTGTGACCAACACAACTGTTTGGGAAAACTCACCAAGAGCAGAATAGCTCAGATCTGTCACTTGCTTCTGTGAGGAATAGGAGGCAAAACTCCACAAATTATATGGCGATAGAAAGCAATAGAAATTCTTCAGAGAATTTAAAGGAGCTGGAATAGCAGCAGACCTGATGAAAAATCTCTCTCGAATGGTGTGTATGCACTTCCAGAGAATTAGACTTTGTCTGCTTATCAGAACATGGTAGAGTAGATGCACCTTTGATGCACTACCAGAGACAATGCTTGGTCTAAAAATCCATTTGAAAAACATGTCAAAGTAGTAGATGTGTTGGAGAAGATAGCACAAGTGGTCCTGATAATACCAAAGAAATTCAGATTTGAGGCTATGACAGTGGGGTTTTTTTGCCCTTACCTCAACAAGGTTTCCATCAGCATTAAGTATTTTTACAATAGCAACAATGGGAATCCAGATGACGCAGAAGATGATCATGCACCAGCCAACAATGCTTCCCCAGGCTGGGTATAACACTGAGCCATAAGTGGGGTTTGGAAATGTCATCAAAGACCAGACCAAAACAACCTAGAAAAAATGGAAAAATAAGAGAAAATCAGGTTTCCAGCAACATTGAATTTGCACTGCTTCCAAGTTGGTTTAATAAAAAGAAGGACTGTCTACAAGTTCTGCATGGTTCCATTGTGTTTTCTGAGTGTGAAAACAGTTGTGCAGGATTTGGTGTTCAGTCATCACCAAGCAGCAAGACTGAAGGCCAGGACTGAAAAATGGCACCAGTGCTGAGATGCACTAACTATATTTGTGTTTACACATAACTTTATCTCTGGGCTCTCTTTAAATCTTATGTTGGATAATATACTTGTTGCTGGCTGAGCCCAGTACCCTTCTCTACATGTTTTATGTGTTCCTGTGTTCCATTATTTACAGGAATACAGGAAAGAATCCAAGATTAGAAATTGGCAAATATCGTTTCAGAAATTGGATAGTTGTAAGCAGCATTTTCTAAACTAGAGTCTGGACAGATTACAGGTAATGTGCTGGCCAGAGTGACTGGCCACTCTTCCTGGATTGGGGATGTTAATAAATTCGGTCATAGTAACATAATCCAACCACCTACACTCACAATTGGAAGTACAGGAGTAACAAAATCCAGACATGCAACAGGACATTAAAAGGTCTCAGTCAGAGAGGAGAACAGCAGAACATATGACCCAAAAATGAGATTTCCCTCAAAAGATTTTCAAACCAATCTCAGTCTAAAATTAAGATAATCCAGCTGCCAAGGCAGAGGATCTAGTTGCCCTGTGTTAGTCCTTGGGAGGGTAGACCCAGCTCTTAGTAACTGATCCCAAGCTCCAGCCTCTCCTGGAGAGGATCAAAGGAGGAGGGAGTGTATCAGAAAGCAGACACAGCCCACAGTCCACTTCACTGGCACAGCTATGCCCCATCTTTATACACAGAGCCTGGGCACTCAGCCCTGACTCTTCACAAAGAAACCTCTTCAATATTAAGGTACTAAGTTCTGTCACACTGACACAATCCAGTCATGTGCACGCACCATTAACAGCACAGGAGTGATGAAAAACCAGCACATTTTCCACCACAGCCAGAATGAACTGCTCTTCTTTCCAATCATCATTTCAATGTCTTCAATGAATCTTCTTCCTCCTATTGGAAGAAAATCAAGGGACTCACTGTAAAGTAGGTACCTCCCCTTGCAGGTGGGGTTACTCAAAAGTGATCAAAGAAAAGCAGTCATCAAGGACAGTTCCTCCAGTTCTGCATTAAAGTTGTCTTGAAATTGTAATACTATTTAGATGGTTAACTTATAAATTCTTTATTGCAATAATTAGGATTTGTATCCTTGGCAGTGCTCAAGGCCAGGCTGGATGGGGCTTTGAGAAACCTGGTCTGTTGGAAGGTGTCCCTGCCCATCAAAGGGGTTTGGAACAGGATGATCTTTCAAGTCCCTTCCGCCCCAAAAGCATACTGTGACTCTGTGATATACACTGTTCCTGGGATTGCTTAGTTTCATTATGTATTTTCAAAGCAAATAATTTACCGTAAATGTGGGCAATGCCTACTATCTCCAGGACAGCTGAAATAAGGATTCCCCATCCAGCACAGAAGTGATCTATTAGGTTAACCCAGTAAATTCCTGCCTGCAGAACAAACATTAGAGGTTAAAATTTGAGTAGTAACATACAAATAAGATGCATTTGTTCAAGACAATTTAACTAATCATCACTCTGAGTTTTTCAGTTCACAGCTCTCCAGGTCAAGTACAGATTTGTGAATATTATTTTCTTTAAATCCTCTATGGAAAGTTGAAAAGCACATCTAACAAAATACTATAGATGCTAAAACCAAGATCTATGTATATGCAGAGCATATATAAACAGCTGAGAGCAAGATTTAAATTTGGAGCTTACAGGACTACAGCTGGGACTGAAGTTTTTATACTGAACTACAGCAACATCTATACAGTTATCAGTTCTGGGAGGCTTCTATCCTCCTACATGCATGACTCCATGGGGTTAACCACAGCTTTAAACACCAGTATGCAATAGCAGGATCCCAGAGCAGGAAACAATCTCTGAGCCATTCCCCACTCTTGTGTACTAAGTCCTTTGCAAGCTTCCCCACCACCCTGTTTCATGACTTACGTACTTTGCTTGACCATACAAATGTCTACTCGCCACAATTACCTCCTTCACATTCTCAGTCTGATTACACACATAAATCTGCATTTCTAGATGGAGTAATTGCAGTGAATCTTTATACCCTTCAAAGCAATTCTCTCAAGAAATTTTACTCAGTATACTTAAAATTCCTTTTCTGTACATCTATTTATATAAATATACACATGCAGGAGAAGTAACCATGCCATTATGAATGCTCATGAGCTAATGAGTTTTTATTACATGGATAGGCCATTCCTCAATTCCTGTCCTGTTTGGTAGTGACTTCTGAACAAAAAGATCCCATCAGCATTTATTAGCAGCACCCATTGTGCTGTGGACATGTTGTATGCGTGTACTTGTGACTACACAAATAAATTCCTGAACTGAGGAACGATAAATCAGGCTGATCATTCACAGGCTCTGTAAAGGCCTTCTATTTCAAAGCATTTCAAAGTCTCAGTTCAATAATCACAGAAAACCTTAGGTTCTTCAAGCTTTCCCTGGGAGTTGCTTGCTTGTGTGTTCAGACACACTGTCAAAATTCAAGGGTCTCTAAGATTTATCCACAAACACAGGAACAGGTGGAAAGGGTATTTTGATTTGAGTTCATCACTTGCAGCATAACTAAACTCACTACCAAAAAAACCCTCCATTTCTTACCTGAGTAACACAGATAAGCCCAAGAAAAAAGAATGCTGCACATAGACCCAGGGTTACAGGTACTCTTAATTTTTTCATCACTCTGGGATTTATATCTTGAATGGTGGTTGTAATTGTTTCTGCAAAGGAAGTAGTGAGTTTGAGCAGCAAAATTAAGAAAGGCAATGGTCATTTGAAAAGCCATGAGTCACTTAAAACCCCACTTACCAATGGAGGCAAACTGGGAGTCAAGGCCCAAAAGCACAAGCATGAAGAAAAACAAGAAAGACCACAGAGGAGAAACTGGTAACTGGGAGAGAGCCTCTGGGTAGGCTACAAAGGCCAGTTCAAACCCTGGAAGGTAGTGGAGAGAAGGATGTTATTGTCATGCCTTGACCAGTTCAAGTGCCAGTACCAACAATGTGACCATCAGCCTACCTGAGTCCACCACCTCTGAGACAGGCCTCTGAGACACAAATGCCATATGTCCCAGGATGGAGAATATTGCAAACCCAGCAAACACGCTGGTGGCACAGTTGGTCACACAAACTAGAATGGCATCTGAGTAGCAGTTGTTGTGGAACTTGTTGTATGAAGACAAAGCAACAAGCCCACCCCACCCCACGGCCAGGGAGAAAAATATCTGGGTGGCTGCATCTTTCCAAACCTACCAAAAAAAAAGAACATGAGAAGTACTGTATTACTTATAGTATTTGTCACAAACATTTAAGTCTGTCTTCCATTGAAGATTAAGGGTATATATTTTTTTCATTCAGCCTGTATATCTAATTCTATTTCATATGAATTTTAGGGAGGATAGAAGAGATAGCCAGTATTTATCATAAACATTTAAGTCTGTCCTCCATTGAAGATTAAGGGTATTTTTTTTTCCATTCAGCCTGTATATCTAATTCTATTTCATATGAATTTTAGGGAGGATAGAAGAGATAGCATGCTGGTGACCTTGCAGTCTCATCTCAACCTTTAGACTCTATAATGTCTAAAGATCACATCCCAAGCGTGTTGCCAAATACTTAAATCTTATTGGGCTAACCCTGAAGAAAAGATTAGATTTGTTCACATAGGTGAATTGCCGAGATATGAATTTTGGCACAGATACAACAAATAAGGACAACCAGGACTGGCTGCAGGAGTGAGAACTTCCATGTACCCTCCCACTTGTGTGACCCAAACAAACCACTCCTGCCACTGATGTAGCCCCTCAGCTAATGCCAAGCACTCATAGAAGTACCACAAATAAATATCACACTCATGATTGCCTTTGATAAAACTGCAATAATATTGGCCTAAGCCAGAACAAAGAAAGTTCTGGCTTTCTTTGCATGAGGTGCCCTTCCTGGTCCACCTAATTACTCAAGGTACTTTCCCAGGCAAGGCATGGCCTGAATTTAAAACTCAGGCATCCCTTCAGCCTTATTATAAAGTCCCTTAAAATTATCAGCAGGAACTTTCTCAGCAGATCTTGCTAAGATTAAACTCCAGCAGGATCCCCAAGAACTGTTTAGAAGCAACAGCACAGTTCTCATCACTGGTGTGGCAGGGAGGGGGAAGGAGGTGACTGTCTTTCAACGTGAGACTAGCTGGAAAAGGGGCTTGGAATTTTTACACAACCAGCTGCTGATACAAAATACAGGGCAGGACCTGAAGCACCTGACTGGGTAAAAAAGAAGAAAGCCACATAACCAGGAATGGAAAGGAAAGGATGTCACTCTTCTGGGGCTGAACTTCCTCTCACCTCTGCCTCCATCAGCTTGGTGATGTTGGACTGTCTCCCAATGTAGTACTCAATGCCATCCAAAGCACCTTCCAGGGTGACCCCTCGCACCAACAGGATGAGCAGGATGACATATGGGAAGAGTGCAGTAAAGTAGACAACCTGCAGAAAGATGGGCAGGGACATGAGGTGTGAGGGGATCCACAGACCTCCATGCAGCAAGACTGGACAGGCTTTAGGCTAAGGTCTGCTGGGACAAAAGAAAAACAGGCAACCAGAGAAATGAACACATGACAACCACCAAACCATCTGGCTTAGCTGGTTCTGGAGCTGCATTCCAACAGAAGCAGAAGGCCCAACCACATTTCAGATAGCACTTGACCAGTTTCAGAAATGGGGTTTTCTGGCATGATTTACTGCTGTAGCAAGGTCTGAACTCAACTACCCCAGCCATCTCTTGCTAGGTAGTGCTTCTAGCAAGTGCAAACTGAAAGCCAGGAAAAACTAGGTGACCAGGGTGGAATGATCTCCTCATGAGCTCCCTGCTACTCCCCCCTACCACACCTCAAAAAAAAAAAAAAAAAGCCAGAACAAAATTTTTTTTTAAAAAGTCACAGTTCTGGAAGCTTTCTTTACAGAACTCCCTACCACCCCTCAAAAAAACAAAAACCCAGAACAAAATTTTTTTTTTAAAGTCACAGTTCTAGAAGCTTTTATTACAGGACTATGCACTTTTAGGTTCTCTCAGACACAGTTCTATACTGTTGTACTAGCACAGTGGGACCAAGGCCAGCAGTACAGTTATTGTTACACAGGCTATGTTAAACAATACTCTGGTTTCTTGAGTCTTAGTTTCAGTGTTATTCAGACAGGTAATTGACCCAGAACTGCTGGCTCCACCAAGCCAGAGCATTGCACCATTGTGTGGTGAGGCTGACATTTCCGAAGACCTCCTTCATGCTTGCCTAGAATGGACAATTCTCTCTGCCTTTCATCTGTCTTGAGAAGCAAGGACTTTTAGGTTCTCTCACAGTTCTATACTGTTGTACTAGCACAATGGGACCAAGGCCAGCAGTACAGTTATTGTTACACAGGCTATGTTAAACAATACTCTGGTTTCTTGAGTCTTAGTTTCAGTGTTATTCAGACAGGTAATTGACCCAGAACTGCTGGCTCCACCAAGCCAGAGCATTGCACCATTGTGTGGTGAGGCTGACATTTCCGAAGACCTCCTTCATGCTTGCCTAGAATGGACAATTCTCTCTGCCTTTCATCTGTCTTGTTCCTGCCCAGCTAGATTCTTCCAAGTCTCACCTTACTCTCCAAAGACAATTGCCTTTGCGCCAGAAAAAAACTGACAATGGGAAGAGCCAACTGCCAGGAACCCAAAGAACATGAGATTCAGAGGAGCCATGCAGCCAAATAACTGAGGCTGGCAAAGCACAGGTACTCCAAAGCACTGAAACAGGGCAGAAAGCTCCAGATCGAAAGCAAAACAGGAGGAGACATCACACTGAGCAGGGGAAAGGAGGCAGCAAGGAGCCAAAGAAAGGCACAGTGACAGAAGGAAAAGGGGGGGAAAAGAACTGTGCGCAGAAGGTGAACAAACGAACAAAGACAACTGAGGCTGAAGATGTAAATGATGGCGATGCAACATGAAGGTGAGAAAACAGAAGGAAGCCACAAAACAAAAAAAAGGGTCTCAGGTGAGGAAGGATGAAATTCAGCCTGCCTTAAGTCAGCCTAGCCCAAGAAAAACTCCAGAAAACCACGGTGAAGGTTGTGGAAATGGCAGCTCAGCAGAGACAGATTGTGAAAACACGCATCTAAGTACCTTGTCCCTACAAATAACTTCAACTCTTGGGAACAAACAACATTTCACAATCTGGAAGGAGCCTGCACACACACACACACACACCTGTTCACAGCACCTGACCTGTATGGTCCAACCATCTCCACCAGACTGGAAGTACAAAATAATCACCAGGTGTTCCCAGGGCGTGTGCCCGTGTGTGCCATCACATGCACGCTTCCATCACACAGCCCAGGCAATGGCTAAAACTCTGCTGGAATCACTGGCATGACAGCAAGATCCCAAAACACAGGGCAGCCTGGTGGAGTTGAGGCCCAGGTGTTAAGTAATGGCTGTGTAATCAGCACCTTACTCATACTTTATGTAACAGTTATGAAGCCGAGGAGCAGGAGGGAAGCCAAATGCTGAGCCCAGCAGAGGGGGTGTGTTAGGACTGCCTTGTGCTAAACTTCTCTAGGTCCAGCTGACATTGGGAGGGCAGAATCATCTCCTTGCTCTTCCTAACATACCTTTCCAGAAGACTTGATTCCTTTAAACAGGGCAGCTCCAACAATCATCCAGGACAGGAGGAGGCAGAGAGCCAGGTACCAGACGATCCTGCCGGTCTCGTCCAGCCCACTCGAGCGCTGCAGAGTCACTTTGCTGAAAGCACACGATGCTCCCGTGAGGAAGGGATGGCAGCAGCACACACACCTCCTCTTCAGTTACTTCTCCTGTCTACCCCATAGATCCTGCCCTACAGATCCCCTGTGCCCCATAGATCCTGAAATCCTGCCTCATAGATTCCTTCTGCCCCATAGATCCCACCCTGTAGATCCCCCATGCCCCCAGGAAAAAGTGAGCTGCTGTGTGAAGCTATATTGAACTGCATTTTTCCCCTCTTTTTGAAGCCTACCAGCTCTTATCTCTCCACACATCTCCTGGAAGGCCCACCTAAGATATTCAGTGTTAATCATGAAATTCTGACAGGAAGAGAAGAGCCCAAAAGAATCCGTGTCCAGGAACCCAGGGAACAAGAGGCAAATTGAGACTGTGGGGCAATAAAGAAATGGCAATTTTACAACAGGCCCAGATTCAGAATAAGGTGACTATATTTTACACAGCAGCTCCTGAGAAAAATAAAAGTATATGCTGCATGTAAAGATGCCAAGTAGTGCCTACCAGAGAAGAGAACTTCTTTAAATTGGAGTATTTTTCAATTGGTTAAAGGTTGACTCACTTGCTTCTCTTTCTATACATAATTTCTCTTAAAAAGGCCAAACTTATCAATTAAATTTTAAGTCCCCTCTCTAGTGATTTGCCTGCCCGTGTCCCTTGACTAGATTTTTTTCTGAAGTGCACGATAGGACAAAAAGAAAAGGTACATCCAAAACCACAATGCATAAAAACGTATTTTTAGTAATGTCTATAAAATATTTACTTACTTCCAGTATTGCTCACTGGGAAATTGCACTGGTTTGTAGCTTATGGTGCCATTTATACACGTGAGATTGTTGCCCGCGATGAATGAGTAGTTCGCACGAATGATTTCCCCATGCAAGGTTGCGTTGCAGTCACTTACTGAAATCAAGAAAAAGGAATCATTAACAATGGAATGACTATTATTAAAAAAAAAAAAATCAGACTGATACAGGAAACATGTTTCCTAAGCAATTAGAGCTTCAGTTTGCTTGCTAACAATATTTGGAAACAAACCTGAAATGTCACTTGCAGCTGTGACTTCGCTACTTGACTGTAAATCAAAAGAATCTGGTGTGCTCACCACGTTTTACTTATCCTCAAGAATACTTATAAAAATCAAAACTGAGCATAGTTAAAATCGAAGCCTAGGTTACTCTATGAAAACCTTTGTCCCAAACCAAGGTGATACATGGATCTTCTGTGTCTGATATTCATCTTAGTGTGGCAGAGGGCTTATTAGAGCACTTCAAATATTTCCCTTGGAGCAGAGTTGGATGAATGGAAACTGGGATAGGGAAATTTTTGCCAGAATATACAATAAAAACAATAAAAAACACTTTATCAGCATATGTATCAGCATTTACTGGAAATTCTTGTTGAAGCCTATTTCAGGACAGCTTCTTCCATTCAGTTTTGTGTTCCCCCAAAACTTACAAATTAGATGCTGAAATATTTTTTGTTTTGTCAATAAATAATCACTAACTTTTTGATACATAAGACCTCTTAGAAGATATTTTCAGATATATGGTTGAGATGTATTCACATTAATTCTGTAAACAATGCAATGCATCCTCATCTTGTCCTTGTTATTTTTATAATCACTGGTTACCAGGCAAGACATTTCCAGCTGCTAACTGGTAATTACCTTACCACCTTCACCTTTTGCCTTAAACTGGGCTGATACAGAAACTGGCAATAGAGACAAGTGTTTGGGCCTTACATCTACTTTGAAACACAAGAACAATGGTGTGGAGATATGTCCTAAAGAGTTAATGAAGTGTGAAACCAGTGCCTCAGTGGTGCTCAGGATTACCATAGCCACAGGGGAGGCAAGGGGGAATGAAAAGACCTCGATAAAAACTACTGCAGTAGTTTGTCTCATGGAAGGTACTGTTTTTGCCACAAAGCCGGATGAAATGGGAATGCAGTATTTCCGGGGATTGGAAATGTATAGACTAGAAAAAAAACTGAGGTTTAAAAGAAAAAAAAAAAAAAAAAAAAAAGGGATCCAACAAGGGGATTTCTGCCCAGTTCTCTGTAGATTTCCCAAGCACCCAGAACTGGTGGCAAAGTGGATAAGCATCAGTCCTCTGTGGTCAGATGCAAAATTCCAGGAAGGACTTTTGAAGCCATGGGTAGCTGTCTTGTTCCCATACTTCCACCCAGAAAACAGTCCAATGACCAAAACCAATAAGATTAAACTCTATCTGGTAAGTATGGTACCTATTCGTGTCTTGCTGCATAATTCATCTGCCCAGGAGAAGCAATCTGACCATGGCAGCACTTTTTGAAATGAGGCAAATAAGTAGTAAAGTGCATAAGCAATGATAACGTTGTAGTAGATAGTCACAAATGTTGAGATGATGACCATTGTGATGCCCACTCCTAGGAAAGAGAAACACACAATATCATAACCACCCCAAACTTGGGTTACAAACACCACACCACCACCCCCAAAAAACAAATAGCCTTCACATGAACTTTAAAAGGCTACTTGGGAAGAAGTTTACGTTGGTTTTTGTTTGGTTTTAAAATATTTTTTTAACAGCAAACAAACAGTGAAATTTTAAACCCATTAAATGATGGATATGATCCAAACTGACCATTCAAACATGGTTTTGAAACAGAGTTTGAATCAGGCCCATAGAAAAATTGGACTATTTACAAAGTCTAAAGGAGAAATTCAGTATTTTGTTCTCTCCCCAGTCAGAGGGAAACTTAGTAAAATAAACTGTACTAGGACTGCCCAAGCCATTTTAAAGATTCCACTGTAATGCATGCTTTAAACAACAGTAAATATTGTCCGTATTACTGTTCTTCCCGTGTAGAGTTTTGTTTTCTGAGTTTGGGAAAGCCTGACAAACTGCACCAATCATCTTAAACATGTATAAAGTTTCTGTTATTGCAGACACATTAAAGATGTGCTGTGTTAAAACCTTTTGCTTTAAGATAGACACACTGCTTTCATGAAAGTTTCTTGTGCTGCAGAACAGAGACTGGCAAAAAGAGTAAATGTTGGGGCAACCAGTTTCTGTAGGTGACAAGCAAATTCTTGTTGCATCAGAAGGAAACTTCCTCCTTCCTACGTTAACTCCTCTGGTAGATTAAGACAAACAAAACCATTGCATAGTCCCTTTACACCCATGGTGCACGACCAGGATGGACAGGCGTGGGTAAAGCACGTGTTAATTGTTTCCAAACAAATCTCCCCGTGAGAGAGTTTGAAATACAAACCCTCACCGAGACAAACTACCTCTACAGCATGCAATGATATCTCTGATCTCCAGAGGCATCCCACTTTACAAAGCCAGAGTCCAGGCTCTTTTATCACACCTGCAGATGAATCCCAAGCCAGCTGCTGGCTGATTGTGCACAATATTGCACAGAGCACCCAGACCTGTGTGCCTGTGCCCACACTGGCAGCCAAATACACAATTAACCCATCCAATACACAATTGCCTTGCAAGCTACACTGGACGTGAAGCATAAAGAAACAGTGATAAATAAAGTCAACTTCTAAAATTTATTTTCAATCAAATCTAATCAGATTTTCAAATCAAGGGATATTTCCTTCTGCCTGGACAGCTAGAGTGAGGGTGATGTGCTGCTGAGCTCTGAAAGAATCACTGATAAAACCTTTCATAACCAAGAACCTTTTTGGGGAAATCTTTACTCAACATCTGTTTATTAGCTGAATAATGAGGAAGTATATACCTGGGTACACAACACTGACCCTGTAACACTGGCAGTAGTTGCAACACGGATATCGGTGTCCCAGAATTAGTAACTTCATGAAGAAATCATTAATTCACAACAGTTTATTACTGGAATAAAAGGAAAGATAAGAAAACCAACCTTGAAACAATGGTAGTATTCTCCAGATGGAAACTGGCCCTAGACTGGCAAACTGCCCAAGGGAACATTCCATGAAAAATAAGGGCAAGCCAGCTAACGCCAGCATGAGGGTGTAGGGGATTAGAAAAGCACCTGAGAGAAGGAGATAAAAAATAGGGGGAAACACAATCACACACACAGAGAAAACAATGCATCTTTTAGCATTCACCACAGTTTTATCACATTTAGTGTAGGGGATTAGAAAAGCACCTGAGAGGAGATAAAAAATGGGGGGGAAGCACAATTACACACACAGAGAAAACAATGCATCTTTTAGCATTCACCACAGTTTTATCACATTTGATACTCCTCCTTTCTCCCCTGCTCCCCACTGTAGGGGCTTTTTTTCGAAATAGAGAGATTTGTTTCCAAGTCCTGTTTTCTAGAAGACTAAAGAGTACCTGCAATGAATGTCAGAACTGCTGATTTAAAAAGAATGGCTTCTCTTATAGAAAGTACATTAATTCTATAAAAAACTATTGAAGATGTGCTCTAACACAAGTGGGAACACTTACATTAATTTTATAAAAAACTATTGAAGATGTGCTCTTAATACAAGTGGGAACACTGCTTAGCTGTAGGCACCACCAGCCTTGTCCGCTTTCTATTCAATCTTCCAACTTTTAATTTAAAGAGGAACTTTTAGAACCATTCCTGTGTGTGCTCAGCTGTGTTTTGCAACTACCCCGTTAAGCAGCTACTGGACATCAAAGCATGAAGATTATTTTCTATGGTTGGCTGAGTCCTGTCTCAAACAACATCTCAGGATGGCTCGTGTTCAAGTCCATTTAAAGGTGCATGTTAACCTGATATCAGTGAGCACCTTGTTCTGTGAAAGGGACTGGCACTTCTTTGTGTGTGCACAGAAGACAGGGAAAGAGAGAGCACGAGTTTCATAAACACAACACGGTATATCCCTGCAGGAACCTGTCCTCATCACTCTCAGTGAATTTAAAGCAATCAAGGACCCAGTTCTGCAAGGAACTGCAAATACCTGATGGAATTTCAGGAAGTAAATTATCCCAGAGAATTAACTGGATTACTCCTGTGTTTCAAAACAAGGATGTAACAGTTGCCTTTTTCAATCATGACAAGGGGCACAGAAAGGATGCAAGCAACAGCACAAATATGCCTTAAATCCAAAGTCTCTGCTGCAGCAGATAAGAAAAAAGATCTACTTCAAAGGCTGATGTCACAACTTATTTGTTTTCACAATTTTCCTCAACAAAACTCCAGGTATTGCAAACCAGCCCAGCTCACGCCAATAAAAGTTCTGACCTGGGAATGCCTCCTTATGTTCCATGTGCATCTGTGTGGGCTGCACTGCATTTACAGCCCAGAATTTTACTTCAACGACTTGGGCAGAGCAAATAGGTACAAATAAGTAAGTTCTCTGCAGTTACTATTTACGGACTCTTGAATTACCAGTGGTAGCCTGGCAAGTAGATAAAGCTCTGGAATACAAGCCAAGGAAACCAGTGCCTCTGCTTGGCTTTGCCACTACTTCATTGTGCAGGCAGGTAGAGGCTCTCTGTCTCACACTTCCCAAGTGTTTGATCTGGGTAATTATTGAGCTGAGATAATTATTCCAGCTTACATTGTTTGCATGGAAAAACAGAGGTGCAGTGGGGATTCAATTGTTCTCTAGAAACATACCAGGTAGGGTATGTAACAAACTTACCAGGAGGTAAGCACTGGGGAGGGAGAGCAGCTATTTAGACAAGTAAAGGATATTGGCACATGGACAAAAAGGTACATGTTGGTTGTGAGTAATTCAGAAGATGGAATTCTCAGGTAGAAATTTGCAACTCAAACTAAATACTATTTCCCTTCTCAGCTGGTACCCAAAAAGCACATAGCTGCCTCTTACTGCCCTTTCCCATGAGCAGGCTCCATCCCAGTTCCCAGGGTGACGCTCACATCCAGCTTTGACAGAACATGCCCAACCTCAGACCAACCCTTGGAGCTTGCCCTCCTCTCTCCTGGGGAGAGCGAGGCGTGCCCACCCGACCCTGCCATTCAGCACAGGTACCTCCTCCATTCTGGTAGGTGAGGTAGGGAAAGCGCCAGACGTTGCCCAGGCCCACGGCATAGCCCACCAAGGACAGCAGGTAGTCGGCCTTGTTTGACCAGTTTTCACGCTCTGAGTTCTCTTTGCTGATGCGGGCATCTCCAAAATTGAAGTCCTTTGAAGAGAAGAGGGAAGGCTTTGATACCCACCAGGCAAGAAGGGCAATCATATCATCGTTTCTCTGTCCAGAGACGCACCTTGGTATGGCTGATCACCCAGACAGGATGGGCACGGATACTTGAGCTGCCAGTCCTCCTGACCCCTGGCAGGACAGCATAGACCTGTGAGAGAGGGTCCCACCAGAGAGCCCAAACGCCTCCACAGTTTTTCCTTACTCCCACCTTACTCCTGCCTTACTCCCTTGTACAATCAGCTCCAGGAGGCTCCCCTATTCTGCCCCTGCACATGCCCCCACACTTGTTCAGACGTTCACATCAGAACATATCTCTATGCCCACTTTAAAAAACACCTGACCCAGTGCCTTGCACATATGCCAAAATCCCACTCATCCCACTTTCCCTTCCACTACATGTTTGGATCTCACCTGCCCAGACAACTTCATATCTGCCCACAGCTGCCGACGTACCTGCAGCCTGCTTGCCCACCTGGGCACCTCCACAGCTCACCTGCTCAGCTGCACCTACACTTGCCTACATGCTCGGGCACCCTACCCGCCCGGGAGCCTCCGGCCAGCCTCCCTCCGCCGCCTCACCTTCTTCTTCCCGCAGGACAGAAAGCCGGGCAGGCTGAGCATCCCCATCGCTGCCGCCGCAGCCGCTGCGCTCTGCGGGAAGGCTTTGATACCCACCAGGCAAGAAGGGCAATCATATCATCGTTTCTCTGTCCAGAGACGCACCTTGGTATGGCTGATCACCCAGACAGGATGGGCACGGATACTTGAGCTGCCAGTCCTCCTGACCCCTGGCAGGACAGCATAGACTGTGAGAGAGGGTCCCACCAGAGAGCCCAAACGCCTCCACAGTCTTTCCTTACTCCCGCCTTACTCCTGCCTTACTCCCTTGTACGATCAGCTCCAGGAGGCTCCCCTATTCTGCCCCTGCACATGCCCCCACACTTGTTCAGACGTTCACATCAGAACATATCTCTATGCCCACTTTAAAAAACACCTGACCTAGTGCCTTGCACATATGCCAAAATCCCACTCATCCCACTTTACCTTCCACTACCTGTTTGGATCTCACCTGCCCAGAAAACTTCATACCTGCCCACAGCTGCCGACGTACCTGCAGCCTGCTTGCCCACCTGGGCACCTCCACAGCTCACCTGCTCAGCTGCACCCACACTTGCCTACATGCTCGGGCACCCTACCCGCCCGGGAGCCTCCGGCCAGCCTCCCGCCGCCGCCTCACCTTCTTCTTCCCGCAGGACAGAAAGCCGGGCAGGCTGAGCATCCCCATCGCTGCCGCCGCAGCCGCTGCGCTCTGCCCGCGCCGCCGCCGCCCGGCTGCCCCACGGCCCGGGCGGGGCCGCCTCCCGCCCCCGGGGCAGCCCCTCGCAGCCCGTGCCCGCTTCCCCGCCGCACCCCGCCCGCTGACCCTCCTCCGGCCCCGCGCCCACTTCCTCGGGAACACCCACCTGCCCAGCGCCTCGCACGGTCACCTGCCCACTTCCCCTGCCGAGCGCTGCCTGGCCTCGCTCCTCGCCTTACCCCGACCCACTTCCCCTGCCACGAACCTGCCTGGGCTCGCTGCCCCAGTCAGGGCTCCTCAGCTCTCCTTGCACCCCTGCCTGGCCGCCTCTCTCTCACCCGCCTTCACTTCTAGCGTGTCCCCCCCACTCCTTCCCCTCTCCCTCCTCTTCCAGTACCTACCTATACACTCTTCTCTTGGTCTTCTACCTCCGGGCCGCCAGTTCCCCATCACACAGTGACCCTCAGCTGAGCAGCTCCCTGTGCCTCCCCTCGGAGGCACTGCCTGTGTGCATCACCTCTGCTCCCTGCCCTGGAGACCCTGCTCCACCCCTGCCTGTGCCACAAGGGGGTTAAACACCACGGAAAGTTCTGAGCACACCTTTCAGGTACAGGCACAGAAAGGGCAGGTCATAAAAGTTAAGTCATCTCCAGAGGAGGAATTTCAGCAGAAGGACTTAAGGATTTTTCTAAAGAACTCCCCCAGTTCAACCACCAAGGTGTCTGTGACATTTCACCCTTGATGGGAAGGGATGTCACAGTGACCTCCCCCAGGCATTCCATAACACATGAGGACACTGCTCACAGCACACTCCGTGTACAGACATAAGGACACACAGATTGTCTGGTCGCTTAATTGCTCTCCCCTATTTATAAATGGTCTTTCCCATGGCTCTTTCAGATCCACACCTTGACAAATACCTTTTCTGTCCAAATTAGTGGGACTTTTCATTTAGCAAAGTGCTACCCAGCATGTCTCAATCTAGCCACAACTAAGAGGTACACCAGGACTGAGGACTGTGTGGGACAGCACCTTCTGAAAGGTGGGAAAGTAAAATAAGATTGTATTTTATCATCCTGTGCAGCAGACTTTCAAGGAGAGTTATATTTTAGATAATGGAAAGATGTCAGAATACTCTTATCTTTGGAACAAAAAACAAGTACAGGTGCAGTGTCCTGACAGGACACAGGCTTTGGGAGAAAATAATAAATAAAAATTAAAGAAAACTCTCCTTTACAGGCTCTCTGTAGCGAGCAGTGGAGAAATTAGTATCTCCAAAGAGGATACTGGAGATATCCTCTGACAGGAGCCTGAAGCAGGGCTGTATTTCTCCTGTTAGCTCTGCAGCTGAACAGCACAGCAGCTGCACTTGCATTCACCAGGGGCTGAGTCCATCAGGTTGATCCCTGAAGGCTGGTTCCTCACAGCTGGGATAGCCACTCACCAGCCAAGCACCATGCCAGCCAGCCACCCCTGGAATGTCTCAGCTATGAATACAGAATTATCAGCCACCAAACCAGAGCCAGTTTGGCTCTACCATAGATGAGATAACCCATCTCCTGACCAGCAGCCTAACTGACGTCACCTTTCTAGTTTGGAAAGCACCCCTGGATTACTATCAGTGCCATTTACTGAATCTTCTGTTAATCCAATGGGGAGAAAAACTAATTTAGAAATAAATTAATTATAATCTTAACATGCTGAGAATACAGCAAACAGTTCTGACATTTCCTAGGAGCAGAGAGATACCTGTGTTTTCCATTTGGTTGCACCAGTGCTATTATCAGATGTTGGGTATTGCCCTTAGCTAACACAAACAGCTCTGGTGATACAGCAGATTGTGTTTGATGTGCTTATTTAAGAATACGATGAGTAAATTCTCTTCTTAACCTATACCTTCTGCGATAGCAGTGCTTGCTAATATTGGCACCTGACACACACATCCAAAACTGATTCAGCAGACAAAGCTGGGGCTTGTTTACCTCTCCCCTTCCCAACTGGTGTGAGCTAAAGACCAGAAAACCCACTTTGCAAATCACTTTAGAATGCACTAAATCCTGGCAAGCCAACACATGCTGACCAACCAACAAACAATAACAAAAAAACCCCCATGTTGGCCTTCAGGATCTGAGGAAGAGGACCTAAATCATTTAACTGTCTATCAACAGCATGTAATTACTCTCATCCAGAACTCAACTGGCAATGTTACACTCTTTAGAGGAGAGGATCAGACAGACAGGACTGCTATAAACTGACAGGTGAAGCAAGGCAGAAAACTTAGAATGTTGGCTCCTGCAGCTGCAGGAATTATCCTCTCCTCTGCAGCTGAACAGAACCAAGCCCCACAGTTCATATTTAAATTAAGGCTTTCTGCCTAAGAATGTCTTTAAATCAAGGTTAAGTGATTAAAAGTGAGATGATTTCCTTGATGTTGAACTGATCTACAGGCAACTTAGACCAAACCTTTACCACTAACTTAAAAAAAAAAAAAAAACCAATCATTGGTCTGGTAGTTCATGAAAGCAAGGCAGCATTCTCTATCTGGTGAGAAATGTCTTATTTCACTGTGAGCCTGCTGTAAGCAAGGTGGAAGTGTATCTACAAGGAGGGCATGTCAAGCAGTGGCCCTTCTGCTTAGAAGACAGAATGGAGAGGTGAAGATGGTGTTGTCAAGGACAAATTGCAAAGGCAATGGATTCTGAAATGGCCATCTGTGACTCCAGAGAGGTACCTGTGGAAGCAGACAGGGTTTGTAGCAAAACACAGTGTGGGAATTACTTGCTGAAGAGGCCTCGTGCCAATACTGGCTTGCCTGGCTCTAATAGTTCATCCAACCATTTGTGCAACAAAGGTAGGAAGAAAATTTTCCTCCCATCGCTGCCAATCCCTTCAGGGTGATGAGGTTTCGCTCATGGAAAAAGGAGTTGACGCATTGTATATCCTTCCTGGATTTATTTTTTTTCTTTATCAGTTTTTGCTTTTCTCCATAACTGGGATGTTCATTGCTGCTGCTCAACAGGTCACCAGGACACACACATCTACTCAATATGGATCTCAACCCATGAATTTGTTTTCATTAATGGAAATCCTGAAAAATTTTGATTCAGAACAACATCCAAAATTTTCAGTACTGTGTGATGTTTGTTTCACTAACATAATAGTAGTTCATTCTATTATGAATTATGTAATCATATTAAAGACCTGTATTGGCAAAATCACAATGAGCTGCTTAATCCAATTTTCCTCCAACTTCAGGACTTTTGGATTAATCTCTAAAGCCATCTCAGAGGTGAGAAATGCAGCAAGGTCACTCCTACTTTCCTCTATGGACAGTCTGCTATCACAACCCAAAAGAAGCAGCTGAAACCTCGCTCGTTATCTCCTTACGTGGAACAGTTGCAAAAGTGCTATAAATGCAAAATGCTTAAGCCTTCGAAGTCGTGCTCATAGGATGGGTGGAGACTTGAAACTATATGGAAAGCAAATTTGCCCTCAGGCCTTTTCAGCAGGTTGCAACCTGCAAATCGTTCATATTACATGCAGTAATCAAGTTAGTGATGGAGAAGTTTTACATATGCATGTAGAAAAAACTTATAAGGCAGAAATAAATAAAAATATACCAATAAAACTGAAAGGTTCTGCAGAACTGCTTTTCTACTACACTGAGCCTAGAAGATTTTGTTGTCCCAGCAACTCAAGAGGAAGCCACAGGTATTCATCCACAAAATTATTCAAAGTGTTTTCGTGACTCTTGGCAACATTGACAGCTCTGTATCTATGGAACATTAATTTCCACTTTAGTTAATTTTATTCAAGAGTTGGAATGCACTCCTCAATCACTTCACCCTCTGACCAAAACTCCAGGATAACATGGTCTTTCTTGTAGCACTGCCTCTCTCCAGTCCCTGAGAGCTCATCAGTCTGTCAGAGATTACTGAATTTGCCATACAGGAAAAAAAAGGTTGCTCTCAAACACAGAGCTCCATATAGAATAAGGAGAAAAGCAACCAATAAAGGACTAAATGTTGACAAAGGTCGAAGATGCTCAAATCACACAACCATCTGAAAATCTCTGCTGAAACCCAGACTTGCATTAGAGTTACCAAAGCACAGTGAACAACAGCATTTGTGGCCCAGGGCTCCTAACTCCCCCAAATCTGCTTCTGCTTTTGGCACAGAGCATCTGAGTTTTCCATGAATCATTGCAGCCTTGTGCCAAACAAACATCCAAGCTTTTCCACGGTGCATCAGGCAGGTGTCACTCTACCTGCCCCCTCCCTGACCATTCTAGAGGCAGGTTCCAAACACGTCCAACTCGTCTTTGAGCAACTGAGGCTCTGTAAACACAAAACCTCGGGTATCGCATAAGGGAGGACATAACAACAGATCCAACGAAGGAAAGGGAAGAGATAAAGTATGGGAAAATGAAAAACTGGAAGCATGCAATTATCAAAACTTAATGATCAGGGAGCACATAGGTGTCAGAATATAATGACTTTTCTATTACGAAATATTTCAGAGGTGGGGCCAGTAGAAACTAAGGAGTCATTTTTAATTGAGCAAAGTAAAGCCCAGGAGTGAGCACAGTAGTAATTTTCAAATATGCTGTACTGAGTTCATCAATCATTAACAGTTTCATTTTTAAATTCTTCCCCAGCACCAAGTGTCAATATTTCTGGAGTTCAGCACAGCCAAGAGATGCTGGTAGGTAGTTTCTCTTCCCCAGCCCCCCAGCTTTTCACAGAAGATAACATAAATGCATATTCTTGAGAAGCTTTTGACTAACAGAAAGGCTTTGAAATACAGGTATTGGCTATCACGAAGCAAAAAGAAGACCTTTCAGCTCAGTCCTTTCCTTGAGGTAATTTTACATATTGACATGCAGTCTTGCTATGTGATAGCCAAGAGAATTATCTTTGTGATTGTCCTCCTTCACAAAAGGACAAAAGCCGGGCTGTTAGTCCTGCCTGATATCTTTGGAATGGAAATACCCCCATCAACACTTTCCTCCGTGT